GTGACCGAGAAGGGTCGCGCACCCAGCACAACCACGGTCTTTTGGGAGTTCTCCGTCGGACCGGTGGCGTTAGCGGTACCCCCGGTTGAGCTGCCCACTCTCACCAGAACGGAGGCAGGTACCACGCGCCGAAGTTTATCGGCGGTAATGGTGCTCTGCACAGAGTTCTCCTCAACAGACTTGGAGAGGCTGTTGCTGTTGTTCTTGTCGGCTGGGGTAGGCGCCGTCTGCTCACTCTCATCTTGGTCCAGGAAGGTGGAACAGATGTAATCCGAGATCTGGGAGCTGATCTTGTCCCCGTCGAGGATCTGGTTCAGCTCTTTGTTGAGCAACTTCTTGAACTGAAAACCGGGCGGAGAAATACGGAGATACAGACACATATAAAAACAAATACATCTAATATAAATATCAAAAATATGGAAAATGTATATATATACAAAAATATGTATACAAAAACAATAGATGTGATATAAATATACAAAAATATGTAGAAAAAATTCCGATAAAACAGGTCCTTCGGAGAAAAAATCAAAGCAGGATTCCAACCGCTCTTTTGTTTGTTTTTTTATGTGACTTAGTGGGTGATCGTCTGTTTATGCTTTCGAGTATCCTCCACAAAATGATTTTGGCTCTGGCAAACGAAGTAGACAGGCTATGGCCTATTATTTTGTGAATAAAAAATGTGAAAAAATGTGACTTCTTGCAGCAGGTGGAGATGTTATTTAAAAATATATATTTTCCTTTTACTTCGCTAGCTCATCGTTAGATCTATGAGTAGGGTGAGGAAGACTTATCTTTTCGAGGACTCTCAACGCTTGCCTTTGAGTTTTGTTCGAGCGGCTCTTCCGAGTGGGGTTGTCATTTTTCCTTCAAAATTATCCATAAAAGCCTTCTCATTTAAAGAAAGAGACCGGGTCACATCCCCTTCTCACAACCAACTGGAGCATTTAATGTTTCCGCTAATTTTTGTTACGTCGAATGACAAAAATCCACAATCCCTTGAAGAAAAAGGAAGGTTAACGTCGGATGCCAATAATTAGTAATGTACACTTTCTTAATTCTCTATTCTACGATTTTGTTTTGGATATTTTTTTTTCAAGAAATGATCATCTTTTATCAAACGAAATGCTACCATTGTCGGTTCTCTTTTCATGCAAAACATCTTTTCGGGCCTTAATTGATTTGATATCAAGCGAATAGTCATTTATTACTGTTAAAGCAGGATGAAATTGTTAAGTAGCCGTTTATACGAGCTGATTGTCGTTAGGACCGTATCGTCCGTATGGTCAGCTTTTATATACAACGTAGACCTTTCCTCTCAGCCGCCGTATATCGCATCATAGCCGATGCATCCTAATTTAGTAATGCTTTTGGAAGTCAGCACCAAGCCTCCAGCAAGCATAAGAACGTCCGCAAGTTGGTACTGGATTGTTGGCTAGTTGACTAAGATGCTTTTCCGACCATAATTGAAGTAGTTCCCACTCCCTCTTATTTTTCTTCTTCCGGAACTGCTAGGAGACCTTATTTTGTTTCTTTTCAAACGTAGTTATAGTGAAATTACTCATCTATTCGGGATTATTTGGTTTAAGGTGTCAAAATGCAAAATAATTCAAACTAGCATCGAAAAGTAATCGAATCGTACTAGATGAGTTTCCTTGTCTCAGCAAGTTTCTGTTCCTTTCACTGAGATGTATATGGGGTTTTTTACCATGATGGATCAGCTGGCTGTTTCCGTAGTATACGAGGAGTTCTGAATATACTCCTTTACAATGAAGGGTTAAATCCCTCGAGAACATTTCTCCCGCCCGTTCTTTTTTATGGGCCTCAAGACAAAGTCGGGTAATGGGTAATAAAGAAGGATGGTCGAGCACCGGATCGATTTGTTTATTATTCTGGGCCTTCGAACTCTTACAGGAGTTCATCTTAGTGGTTGGCTTATAGGGCGAATAATTTAAAACAAAACGCAAAAATGGGTAATCCAAGTGGCCTGGTGAAAAATGCCAGCGAGAGTAAATATTAGAAAGTCATAGCTCTAATCCTTATATTAATCCTAGCCAAAATTTTAATTGCAGTCAAAATTAACCATAGCCGTTCTCAAAATTAGCTTCAGAACCCCTGGAATATGGGTGAAGAAGGTTTTAATCCCCCGGTTTTGCTCAATTTATTTTACATTTCGATAATCTGCTACCCATTGTTCTCAGTTCCATTCATTTTAACTTATTAATATCAAAAATTAATACACCAGCATAAAGTTCACGGAAATAGTTCCGTAAAACGCACACTTTGCCAGCTGGTACATTTGCGTAAACTAACGCCATTATCTAAAGCATACCCCATAAAAAAGGGCTTCGAGGTCCCATACTTGTGCCACAAAGACCATCCAATATTTGGATCTCAAGGTCGCCACTAAAATGCATTAGCTAAGCGGGGAAAAGTCAAACTTTTAGCTGCCTGGGACGCCTGGCAAGACATTACCCCGACCTCGTAGTTTTTTACCAGACAAAAACCAGCGTCCCAGCGGCGGCAAATCTTACCGCCTTTAGATCCTGCACAAGAACAGGACTGGACTCTCCTGTGCCCTGAAGCGTAACAACAAGGCCTCCAGGAGCTCTTGCGATTCAAATTAGACACGCTACAATCACCCCAACCGTCCGGGGACAGTTGTACCGCGAGTCTGGCGCCAAAATGGGCAAAAGGTAGAACAGCGAGAAAGGAAGCGGGAGTAGTAGTAGTAAGCTGCCAACTTCGTGCCTCAGTTTGCCCCCTATCCCCGCAACCTCGTCATTTTTCGCCCCTCAGTCACTGAGGGCGAAAGCAATTTGCTTCTCCTTTGATTGGTCACGTGGCGGTGACACGGACGCTACACGCGTCCACATCGGCATGACAACGCCCGAGAACGGCCGACCAATCAGAGGGCGGCAAAAAGGCAGACGACGGGAACTTTTGGGGCAAAATACAGGCAGCGTGGATCGACATCCAAACTTGTGGTGAGACGTGAAAGCCTGCCACGCCTCAGTGTATACACTCTTTCTCCTCCTCCTCCTCCTCCGCCTCGCTCGCTCTCCACCGCCTGTCTACGCAGTCATGAGCGTGGGGCGGAAGCGTGAAATTTGTGGCCTTACGGTGGCCTAAATTGCGCTAGATAATCGGTTTGCACTGGGGGCGTGTGGAGAGGCAAACGTGGACGCAGTAATAATCACCCTAAACCGTTTTTGGTTCTTTTTTCTCCTCTTCTTAAAATCCGTAAGTGCTTTCTAGTCAAGTAGTCGCATAAATAACTTATCAATGTAAAGTTTCACAAACGGAAAATGAATTCACGTTTTTCATTCATCCGTCTGCGTCTAAAAGGCTTTGAAAAACTGCTAACTTTCTTACTCCTTTATTCCAACAGAACGCTCACTTTGAGACCGAATGGGCGAGCATAAGCAATGACAAAGGAACGACACTATCAGTAAATAGGTAGCATTCCTTCATGTCGCAATTGTAGTAACTGTGCGTAAGGAAGAGTCACGTATACAAGCGATGATTGGATCATCTTGGTTATCCCAAAATGAGGCAAATATTCGCATCTCAGGTGTGTATATAGGTAGAGAAGAAGAAGAAGAAGAAGAAGAAGGCATGTCGATCACCGGAATCCTAACTTTATTCGTTTGAGATTTCGAAATCTTACTGAAGTTTGAGCCTGGGCCTCGGATGAGAGTTCAGTCAATCTATTTATCGATCTACCGCCGGCATACATCGTCCTGTGCAGACATCTCCGGACTGACGTCACTGGTGGTTGATTGGTCCCCGCCCCCTATAATTGTTGCTTTTTTTCGTTGACGCTTTTATCGTTGACAGTGGACCCCAGTAAGAGTTCGAAATCTGAGACAAATAAAACCATGATTCCGGTGATCGGCGTGCCTTCTTCTTCGTCTGGGTTATGCAATTTCAATGAATTGCATGAACTACGTAAAATTGAACAAGAGCGTGGAAGGTGAGCTAAGTTAAGCATTTTACTGGTTCAAAGAACGCATGGCACAAATTCCGCAAGCATTCCCGCCTCTCCATCCTCAGACACCAGATTCTGGATAAGTTATTGGTGAAACCCCTAATAGGGACAGAGGTTTCCGTGTTAATAATATTAATCGGCCGTTGAAAATCGAGGAGCTTAAGTTTCCCTTTGCCTGTATCTATGTTCAAAGGAGAAACCTCTAGGACTTCCAGAAAAGAGCAACAGCTGGGTTCCAGACTAATCTAGCAGCAAAGGAGTGATTTTAGTCAGTGCGCTTTTAGGCGTCTACCATTTCGACTGAGCTCCCTTCTACTTTCAGCTTCACCCCAGTTGCCGATATCCTGCCTAAAAGTAGTACAGCGATTTTTCTGTCATTAAACTGTCACGTCAGCAAGTAATGTTGCGAGAGAATCGGCAGTTAGTTTCAACTCCACTGCGTTTGTTGTCTTCAGTTAAGCTCAGGATCTGATAGTCAGTGTCATATCGACTACCGATGGCAAGTTTGTTGCGAACGTGACGGGTCTGTAGGCCTCCTGTGTCCAATTAAACTAAGCCCTAGGAGACAGCGCTGGAAAGTGCGGTTGGGTTAGATGTCAGATAGGGTTCGCATATCGAGCCACGCCGTAGCTCTGCGTTCTCTTCCTAATTTAGACTTTGTCAGACCATTAGCAACTTTTATTGCGGCTGTCGCCATGGTCTGTCCGTCTGTCAGACAGGCGAACAGGTTTACTCAGTTAAAAGTCAACTTTTACACTCTGACAACCAGGCACCGCATATTCGATATGAATGTAGGATTTTAATAAAACAAATTTAAAGTTGCGAAAATTCCCATCAGAGAATTCAAAAAGAATATCTGGCGAGCATACGTAGCTTTTGATAACTGCTCCTCGGGACATTACATTTATAGCGGGAGGGGGTAAAA